TATGTTAACTGTTGACTACTTTTACAGTTTCCAACACTTGAAAGCTAGCATGAAGATATTAAATCATTAACTGCATGAAAATTAGTCCATCATATATATTTTTAACTAAAGATGTCCTAGAGAAAGGAGATATTACTATTTCTTTAATGGTCATAACTCATGTCATTCCATACATTAAATCACTGGAAAAGGATGGTAGAAAGTGCAAGGGTCGTTGCCTCTCTCTCTCAAGTTGCCTTTTATGTATATATTTATGTTTAATAAGGAAAGTGTTAGCCTGTTTCTGATACTGGTATTCATATGATAATGGGTAATTCACAGTATCAATAAATAAGGTATTTGTTTGTGTGAGTGTATATATATATATATATTTATGTATATATATGCAAGTGTGGTAAGAGGCAGTTTATATGTGTACTTAATGAATGCATTCCATGAATGGGTATGTATGAAGGGCATGAGTTATATATTGTTCCTTTGTCGAAATACTTAGCAAAGGCTTTGCTTACTCATTCACACAGAGAATCCAAAGATTAATTTTGGTGTTACAAGCTAATGCCAGAAAAAATATTTTGTATGGATAATCTCATAAATATATACAGCATAAATAAAACATATACCTTTAAATGTATTTCTTATTTTCTCATTCTCTGGTGTATATTTTTTTCAGTCTCCCATTTGTACTCCATACTTAGAGCCCCATTGCGTTATTACCTATCAGAAGATACTAAAACTTAACCGAATGCCTCTGGATTACCTGTTGTTCACATCATAGCTGACTTGAAATTAGTCATAGCTCCAAGTGACAAGCTTTTCCCTTCATTGGCACAGATACACAGGCCTGGTTATTCACATAATTTTACAATGGTTCATGCCTCCATGCTCTGATTGCCTGTTGTTTTGCATAAAAGAGATGAAATTGAGCACATGCATAATTTGCTTGCTATACCTGAACCTGTAAGTGACTTGCACCCAAGTTTACATGGTTAGTCACTTTGGAATTGTCATATGGCACTGCCAGGGTGACTGTCTTGTATGACACTCAGCAAGGAAGTACTGAACCCTTGTAATTAAATGCATACAATCACTTGTTTCATAAGAATAAGATTTGTGAAAAAGAAAGGAAATCCCAATTTTATTCTACACTAAAACCACATTCCATATTTTACAAATGGCAACCCCAAATTTATTGAAATGGGGCCTTCTTTACATAATCAGGCTACTGCAGGTTTATTCTAGAAAAGAAAACTCGTGCATCTCTGAATAAACAAAAGTATTAAAATCATGTTTCGGATACAAATTATATCATGTCGGTGTTGCACGCTTAGTGCAGCATATTGAGTCTGGAACAGGCTGAAGTGGCAAGCCTATTTGATTATCATACTTTCCAGAGCAGAGACCAAGCATATCCTAATTTCCAAATTCCCCCAAAGGCTTTGGGTTAATAGCATTTGACATAGCTTGAGAATATGCAGGGAAGGGGATGTGAGAGGAGTATAGTCAGGTGACTAGCCACATTTCAGGGTTAGTCTTGCATATATATCTGACATTTTTCTTGACAGTCAAACATTATAATTATTAGCATAAGTATGAAAAAAAAAAGGGGTTGTATAGCTTCACATTTTTCTCACTCAATTTATATTTGACTTTCATGTGGAATTTGCAAGCCACTGACTTACATGTAAGTCCACATTTTTAATTCTAGGGTGGGCAGGTTTTATTTTCATGAATGTTTGAAAACAGTGAGGAGCAAAAAGTTGAGTTTTTTTTTTTTACCCATAGTACATGAAGCACAGGCAAAAAAATTATGTACTTAAAAGAAACAGGATATCTCAAAAGGAGGAAAAGAACAAGTCCTTATATATAAATACAGATATAAAAAAATTAGGTTGACAGACATTGGATGACAATCTACCTACAGATCCCACAGGCTGCCACCTCCCACTGTATACTAGGAATATTTGGGGTGCTACTTAAAACACCAAAAATCCTTGGAACTCCCAATCACCAGAGTACTCAGATGACTTATCCCACTGGCCATATACATACATAAACAGTTGTTAAAAACTATGAGGAAGTCTGAAACAACAAGTTTATTCATGTTTTTAAAAAAGTGCAGATGAGCTTATTTTATAATTTTTGATAAAACTATTCATAGATATATGTTGTATAACATATAACAGATGTGTTCTAAGTTAATATTAATAAATCAAAAGTGGCATTTCTAAATATTTAAAGGAGTTTGATGTTCGAAACCAATGCCAATAAACGATGGAAAA